ATGACAAGGGAGGCCCAGAGAGGGGCATGGGCTCCAAGGTCTGAGGGACTTGAAGGAGCCCCTCCTTTTAAAGAAAGGACCACTGCAAAGGGCCAAAGAGAGAAGTGAGTCCCTTCTTTCCCCCTCTCCACAGGAGTCGGCAACAACAGAGGTCCATAGAACTTGACTCTGGGGTCAGGGTCACTCCCTTCCTGTTAGCCAGCACAAGAGGCACTGAGTAGGGTCCAGGAACCAGGCAGGGGCAGAGCAGGAGGAGGCTTGGGGAGGTGAGGCAGAGAGAAGCTGGGCAGTGACCACACTTGCCAAAGGGGCAGCAGTTGCTGAGCTGGTGTCTGTGCTGGTGGGGAGGGATGGGCGGAGAGAGGGTGGAGGTAGCGGGTGGGAATGGGTGAGGGGGTTTAGGTCGAGATCTCTGGCTTCAATGACCTCAGGCCCGAAGCAGTGAGAAACCATGTAGTGCAGGCATTCTTTGCTCCCCGGATGAGAGCAGAAATCGATGCAGCCCCCACTGGGCCCTGACCCTGGCTTCAGAGCAGCCCAGAGCCATTGTCTGTTCTTGGCACCTGTGGGTAAACTGAGGGCTGGGTGTGGTGCTGTCTACAGGCCTGGCTGCTCTCACCTGGGACCACAGAAGTACAGGTAGGAAGCTGGAGAGAGCAGGAAGTCTCCATCCATACAGTCACCATCTACTATCCATTCACCCACCCACCTACCATCCATCTACCCACCCACTTACCCACTTGCTGTCCACCTACCTACCATCTACCATCCATCCACCCGCCCATCTGCTGTCCATCCACTCACTCACATACCATCTACTGCCCACTCGCTGTGTGGGCAGCTGTGTGGGCCCACCCACCTGCCCACCTCCCATCCATCCATCCATCTGCCCACTTACCACATATCTACCATGGTTCCACCAGCCATCTCCCCATCCTCACTGAATTAAGATACAGAGCCGTGGAGCTTTGTGCTGCAGAGCTGGAAAGCCCTGACGTTGCCAGTGGGAAAGCTGAGGTGCAGAGGAGGAGAGCCCCCACTGCAGCCACACAGAGCTCCAGTAGGCAATCTGGGACAGGACTAGGACTTGCTGCTCTTTTCCACACACCACACGTTCTCCCCTGGGCTTTGGGAAATTTCCCAGTTGCTGTACTGAAATTTATAATGATGTTTGTTCAAGAAAGCTGTAAGGGCAGGAAATATGACCTCCTGGGTTCCTGGGCACAGAGCCTAGGCTGGGAGTGTATGTGCATGCCTAAGTGCATACTTGTGTGTGTGTGTGTGTGTGTGTGTGTGTGTGTGTGTGTGTGTGTGTGTGTGTGTGTACACGTGCACTTTGGTGGCCAGCTGTGCACATGGATACAGGCAGAGCTTTGTATGGGGCTGTGTGCACTTGCCTGACACATTTGGGCAACCTGCCAAGCACATATGCCTGTGCCTTTCCTTCCCTCTTTCCTGTTTAATATTTAGTTTTTATTTATTTGAAGGGCAGAGTTACAGAGGGGAGGGGGAAGAGAGAGAGATATCTTCCATCTATTGGTTCACTTCCTAAATGGCCACAACAGCCATGGCTAGGACAGGAGCTTTCTTCCAGTCCTGTGAGGGTGCAGGGCCCCAAGGACTTGAGCCATCCTCCACTGTTTCCCAGTCTATAGCAGGGAGCTGGATTGGAAGTGTAGCCACTGGACTCAAACCAGTGGCTATGGGATGCTGGTCCTGTAGGCAAAGGCTTAACCTGCTGCTATGCCATAGCACTGGACCTTCTGTAAGCCTAGTTCCACACTACCATCTCAGAGCCTTCCCCGTGGTTCCTCTGTGGTTTTCCCGTCCCCAGCTCCCTGATTCTGTCCAGCCCGCATATGAGGTGATGCAGTACAGGTTAGTGTTTGGAGCGATGGGGAAGGTCCGCGGAGGAGGTGGCATTTGAGTCAGCCTCGAAGGCTCTTGGCCCACACAGCTGCTGCTGCCAACACTCTCCACTCCCGGAGCAGGCTGGGCGGATAATGCCAGGTGGAGGGGCACATCCAGGGCCTGCAACTGCCCCCGGGAACGCCTTGCTTCCTCTCCCACTCCCTCCACTGCCGCTAGCCTGCCTTGGTCTGCAAAGTCCCTGGAATGGCTCAATCAGAACAAAGGTCAGCCCAGTGCCCACCAATTCCAGTAAAGGTCACTTCTGGGCATCACCCAATGGAAGCAAAGGGCAGGCCAAGGAGTCCACCAATCAGAGCAAAGGACACAGTTTTCTCCGGAAGTCCCCTAGGGTGAGGGCAGCATGGAGCCAGACAGGGGCTATGCCCTGGTTGGCTGGCTGGCCCCAGTTCCGATGGGGCTTCTCCCTGAGTCTCAGTATCCTCATCTGTCAAATGGGGAGAGGTCGCTGTTGGGAGGCTGTAGTTCTGTGCCATGTGCCCCCTTCCGTGTCATCACTGTCCCTCCTCCGCATGATGACTTGGGCCTTCGGCTCCCCTTCCCTTCTTTAGACTCCAGACTTGTCTTGGGAGGGCCACAGTGGTCTCAGTACATACTGCACATTGTACCACGGGGAAGCAGCTGTGTGTGTGAGAACCTGGGTGTGCATGCATGCGAGGTGCACCTGCCTTGTAGGTTGCCCTAGAAGAGGTGTGTCTGTGGCTGGCACCGAGGGTGTGTGAGTTGGATGAAGGGTACCTGAGGGTCCCAGGACAAGAGACCTACTTTGATGATGGAGAGTCTTGGAATTGGCAGCTCCTGCTGTTGGAGAACAAGCATCTCTCCATGGCCAAGATGTGGCTTTATTCCCAAAAGCCACTCTGAGTGAGTTCTGGGGAGCAAGGCCCCCTCCTCACTGTCCCACTGCCCCCTCCTCCTGGGCAGAGCAGGCACCTGCAGCTGAGAAGAACTGAGCGTGTAGCCTCGCTGATCAATGGCATTTAGCCTGTTCTTGCATACTCACAGGAATGGTGAGCTCAGCTCCTACCTCTCTGGTGGCTCTGCTCGGAGGCAGGGCCTCGAGGTCAGCTGGTGTGGAGTCCCATCCACTGCCCACCCCCGTGCTCTCCAAGGGCCCCTGGGAGGGGCTAAGCAGTTGGAGTCAGAAACTGACAGCCTTGATCAGTCTAACCTGCTTTGTGGGGCCTCCTGGGCTGTGTAGTCTTAGGCACAGCAGGGCATGGCTTCTGGTCTCCCCTCACACGGCACATTTGAGGGCATCTCCTGGGGTCCTTAGTTGGAGCCTAGAGAGCTGCAGGGTGAGACTGAAGAAGTGGAGGACTGCCATCTGCCCTACAGAGAGCCTCTCTAGTAAAATAGCCAGCAGCTATTTCAGCATTAAAGAGTTGGTTTAAAACGTTCTTTGATAGCCAAATTACCCACATTTACCAGAACTGGCCAAATGGGAGGCAGGAGTCAGGAACTCCATCTGTGGGTCTCCCACCTGGGTGCCAGGGGACTTGAGTCCTCACCTCCTGCTTTGTTGGGTGACATTCTCAGGAAGCAGCCATTGGGAGTGGAGGTGGGGCATGGACCCTGGTCCTCTGAGGCGGGCTGCATCCAAGGCAGTATCCTTTGGCAGCCCATGCTGACGCTGTGGGCTCCTGCTCACTTGTGGTCTGTCAGCTAAGGCCCTCAGCCTCTGGTCCTTTTCCTGGAAATGGGGACCTGGCCCTGGCTCTGACAGGCTGTAGTGAATTGCTTGGTTTTCTGAGCTCAGCCCCAGCAGCCGGGAGGGGAAGACATCAGAAAGGACTTCCGAGGGCAGAAGCCAGGGCACGGCAGAGTGGCTGGCATGAGTCACGATGCTGCCTTGGCCCCGCGTCCCCTGTTCTGCCACCTTTCTCTTTGATCCCTGAGGCTCTGGCCAAGTTAATAGAGCGCAGAACCAGGACCTTGGTTGTCTCCGTTCCGGCTGTGCAAGGACACGGCGTGTTCCTGGAGTGGGAAGATGGCAAGGCAGGCAGTGTGGACTTCTGTGCCTCCTGTGGCTGCCAGGGCTGGCCCACCTGCCCTTCTCCCACTGTAGGGCACCATGTGCCCTTGAACTCTCATTGCTTTCAACCCAGCCCCTCACTGGGCTGCAAGCTGAGGCTGGGGGAGACTCTTGTCCCTGGGAGGATGATGTTAGCTGTGCTCACTCTGTGCCCTTTGGACACCTTCATTTTTTTTAATAGATTTATTTTTTTTTCTATTTGAAAGGCAGATTTACAGAGAGGAGAGACACAGAGAGAAAGATCTTCCATCTGTTGGCTTACTCCTCTAATGGCTGCAATGGTCAGAGCTGAGCCGATCTGAAACCAAGTCTCTGAAACCTGAAATCTAGTCTCCCACATGGGTGCGGGGGTTTGAGTATTTGAGCCATCCTCTGCTGCTTTCCCAGGTCATAAGCAGGGAGCTGGATGGGAAGTGAAACAGCAAAACTCAAACCAGCACCCATATGAGATACCAGGCCTACAGGTGGAGGATTAGCTTGCTAAGCCATGACACCAGCCCCTATTTTTTTTCTTCCTTGGTTGTGTGTTTCCATATCAGCCTATAGGAATGGTAGCCACATTTGCTATAATGTTAGAGAAGATGAACACTGAGGCACTGGATCAAGATCCACACTACAGATTCCATGAGCTAGGATTTGACCTTAGGGCTTGGTTTAGTTGTTGAGTTTTCATGTTTTAATCTGGAAGCTGGTGATATCCCCACCACATCAGAGTTGTCACCTCAGTTGCAGGCCCAGAGGCCTGGGGTGTGGTCCAGGCTTGGCCTCGTGGCTCGCCGTGAGACTTTGGCGAGGTCCCCAACTTTTCCCGGAGCCCTGGTTCCCTGTATCTATAAGATGAGTGGGCTTGGACATTCTTGGATCTGAAGCTGGTTGGATTCGTGATCCCAGGGCCTAGAGCTATGTGTGCTGTATGTGAAGGCCAGGCTCAGGTCTGAGCAGGCCATTCTTGCTGCAACCCCCGTGCCCATGGGACTGCCTGCCTGCCTGCATGTCCGCCGGGTACAGCCCCTTACCTTCCTCTCTTCCCTTCCAGGATGCTCTGCTGAACCTGGGCTCTGTCATCGACCTCGCGGGCCTACAGCGCGCCATCAAGGAGGCTCTCTCGGCCGTACTCCCCAGAGTGGTAGGTGCCTCCCTGAGCACCCAGCCCTGCCTCTTGGTCTAGTCCTATGCCATGGTTCTTCCCACAGGGCCCAGGAGAAGGGCTGAGGCACTGCCCTGCCCAGAAGACTCATGTGGGGAAAGGAAGAGTCTTGGAGGGCTTTCTGGAAGAGGGAGGGCTGAGGCTAAGACCAAAGTGTGAGCTCACATGGCAATCCTGCTGTCTGAGTATGCAACAACCGGCAAAGTGCCTTCTCAGAGAACAGAAGGTCTTGGGACACCTGTCACCACTCTCACTGGGAGAGCCTGGTGGCTTCTGGGATCTGTGCAGTGGGAAAGGTTAAGGATGGATACCTGCAAGAACTTTCTGGAGGCCAGGTCTTGGAGGTGCTGGAGCAGGGTCCTCAGGTGGAGGATCGGGGACAGCCCAGCCCTCAGGGTCTAAAGCAGATGAGAGAGGGTGAGGCAGCAGGATCTGAACCCAGGACAAGATGTCTGATCCAGCCTATAGGACCTGGAAGGCTTCCTGGAGGAAGAGATGCCCAAACTATGTCCAGATGGCCTTGAATGCCCTCTCCTCTGCTCCCAGGAGCAGCCCGAGGCAGCTGTGCTCCAGGAAACACGGCCAGCTCAGAATGCGACCTTCCCGTCCTGCCAGAGTTCACTGTCCCTGAATCTACTTGATGGATGGCCCAGAGAGGGAGGACATCCTTCCCAAGGTCACACAGCAGGACAGGGACAAATGGGACTTGGCATCCCAGCACTCCCCATTTCCTCTCAGTTTTGCCTTCCCAGACCTAGGCGAAATTCCGAGCCAGGAGGCAGGCTAATGACTGAGCTTTATTGAGCGTGAAATTGGTAGGAAGTAGGGGGTGGTTGGTGGCTCCCCAAAATAAACCCTGGGGAAGAGAGAAGAGGCCTGGCCAACATCTGGCCAGGCTAGGGGGAGTTGCATCTGGAAAGGAAGGGTCAGTGCCCAGTGCCTGCAGGCTGCCCAGCGAGAACTGGGTTGTCCAGGCAGAGTGTCCTGGTGGGGCTGTGGCCATTCCGACACCCTCCGAAAGGTTCCCTGGAAGCCCCATCACTGGCCGAAAATGTGTCTTCCACTTCACCTTGGAGTCCTCTGGTGACCAGGGGTGGGGGCGGCCCTGGCTGGGTTGGGTCTTCACAGCGTAAGGGCTGAAGGGGCGGCTTGTCCCAGGAGGGGCATCCGGGTGGGTAGAGAGCGGCAGAGGAGGCACCTGCCTTCCTCCCTCATCAGCACCCATTGTGGCGGGCGGCCCCGGTGCAGATGGTGCTGATGTGTCGCAATGACTCTCCCCTTCTTGCTGCCTGCCGCTAATTTTAACCCAGAAGCCTGGGGGTGGGGCCTCCGGAAGTGAAGGGAGGATCTGCCCCCTTCTTCTCAGGCACCCCCCCTTCTCTGCCAGGGATTTCCCACCCCTCTCTGCCAGGCAGGGCTGGGCAATGAGCTCTTCACCAACTTGGATGAAAAGAGCCTCCAGCCCCTCCCAGGCCGCTTCAGCTGCTAGGTTAGGTGAACCAACAGGGACAGAGCGGGTAGTTTCCATGTTTCCTAAGGGTGAATTTCCAAAGCCTGGCTTCTCGTCACCTCCTCCTGAAGGCCTCCGTGATGTCCTCAACTGGGACGAGCACAGAGAGGCAGGCTAGGCTGTGTTGCCTGTGGCTTGGCTGGTATCTCTTGGGGTTATGGGTTATGTGGGGAGGGGGTTGGGATGGGAGGTTCTGCCTGTGGGTCAGCAAAGACAGCTGCTTCTTCCAGGACCCAGCCTGGAATTGAGGTCCCCACCTCTGCAGGCCCTTGGGGAGAGCTCAAAGTGTGGCAAACCTCCAGCGAGAGCTTCTGTCTCACTCCCGAGAGGGCTGCCTCTGCCCTACTGACCCCAGGCCCAACCCCTCTTGTCTCCCCCACCTCCCCTGTGCCTCTTCCCACCACTGCCTGTTCCTAAAGTGTGATTCTCCTGATACCTTCAGACACACCTACATGCCTGCTGTCTGACCCAGGATCCAGTTCCTTGTGCTAGCTGCTCACAAGGTGTCTAATTCTCTTAGGGTCCAGCTTAGAGGTCACTTTATCCAGGAAGCCCTCCTAGACCCCTCCATCAAGGATGGGTGCCAGGACCTTTGCTCTTTGCTTTTCTTTTGGTTCGGGATTGCTGGTCTGTGCTTCCTGGGTGGCTTTGGCCTAGCGTGGGTGCCCCCTGGAGCTTGGGTTGGACAGGAAGCAGTCCAGGCTGGGGTGATTGTATATACCCGCAGCCCTTCAAAGTGCTTTTCCCAGCACCTTCACTTTGGGCCTGCCTGCCCAGAACCTCTCCGGGTTTGCAGGTGTATTTAGCCACCCTGGTGTACACTGGGACCAGCTGGGGAGTCAAAGACAGGTGAATGATCAGAGTGCTATCCCAGAGGCGCTGGACCCACTGTGCAGAGCGCTGTGCACAGGCTCAGCCAGGGGCCTCTATGGGCTCACGAGTACCTTTTCCCTAGGAGACCATCTACACCTATCTGCTGGACCAGGAGTCCCGGCTGGTATGTGAGGATCCCCTGCATGAGCTGCCCCAGGAGGGGAAAGTCCGGTGAGTCATCCTCTGGGCCTCCCAGAGGCCTCGTGCATAGCCCCTACCCCTTGCAGCCAGTCTAGATGCAACCTGCGGCCAGCTGAGGCAGCTGGTGAGAGGTGGGTCTTTTCCCGTGGTTGTAGTAGGGTGGGTACCTGCCCCTTGGCAGGCTTCTTAGATGGAGTACCCCTTGGTCTGCTGCCCAGAATGTGGGTGCTCCCATATCTACTGGCCTAAATCCCAGCCTCCCACTGTGCTCTTTGGGGGGCCCTGGCTTGGAACTGCAGATGGGCTGAGATTGGCTGCCACCTTTCCCAGACACTATAGCCAAGAACCCTGTATGTGTGTATAGGGGGGTAGGTCCTGGGTGCCCTGTTGTCTTGGGAGCTCGCATGGCTTCTACTGACCCTTCTCACACCTCTCTGATGGCGATGACTCAGTGCCTACAGTGGACTGGGCTCCCAGCTCCCTGGAGTGAGGATAGTACCAGCAGATGCACTGCCCAACCCTCCCTGGCCACCCTGCTCTGTCCCTGAAACCAAGTCCCCTTTCTCCTCTCACCCAGCATCCCTCACCCTGGCTTCCAAGTCCTTGGCTAAAGCTCGCTCAACGCTCCAGGCCAGCGTCTCCCTAGCAAGGGCCTCCTGGGAGGGGGCAGGGTGACAGGCACTCACTCAGTGGCAGGATAGGGGTAGGGGGCTGGAAGGAACATCCTGTGGGGTTTGGGCTGCCCTCTCTTTGTTCCTTTATTTGTTTATTTTTTTTTATTGTTTGAAAGTCAGAGAGAGGTGGGGGAGAGGAAGAGAGATTCTTCCACCTACTGATCACTTCCTAAATGGCAGGCCGAAGTCAGGAATCCAGAACTGAATCAGGAGTGGAGCCCTGAGCTGCCTCCCAGGGTGTACGTTAGCTGAAGCTCAGTTGAAGTGAAAGCAAGACCAATACAGGATGTGGGTTTCCTAAGCTGCATCACTCTGAGCACAATGCCTGTCCTTTGAGGCCAGCCCAGGGCTCTCCTCTGCTGCCTGGTGGTTCAGGTGGGTACCTGTGACCTCCGCCTCTGCCGTGGCAGTATCCTGTCCTCCACCGCTGCAGACTCAGCAGAGCCTTTGGGAAAGGCGCGCACACAGAAGCAGTTAGGAGTGGGTGTTCAGATGCAGTTAGCCCAGCGCCTGCTGGAGATCAGAGCCAGCACCTGCTGGGGTGGCACCCCTGGGGACATGGAGGAGGGCGTGAGTTGGAACTGGTGAAGGTTAGGACCGACAGTTTAGGCCCAGGGCCTGCTTCTGAACATGCATCCTGCCTGCCCAGCCCTGGTCCAGTAGGGCACCCACAGCTACTCTAAGGCTAGAGAGGTTGTAGGGTTGTCTGTGTCCTACCCTCAGGTGCTCCCAGCAGGTCTGGGGAGGAGGGAGGAGCCTTGGAATGGGAGTCAGATGAGCCCCATCACTGGCTCCCTGTGTCAGTCCCTGAGGCCCCTTTGTTGGCTCCGTGTAGTAACAGGTGCCACACCCTCTTCTTGGTGCCTTGACACACAGCCATATTGAGTGATGGCTAGCTGTGCCCAATTTCCAGTCCCAACCAAGGCTTGCCAATGGGAGAAAAGCACTTTCTTCTGATCTCAACTCTCTTTTTCAATGAAACAGGTGGAGCTAGGGACAGGATTCTTCCCTCAGTGACCTGGGGGCTCTGGCTCCATGCTGCCTGAAGGCTGAGGCAGAGCCAGGGGGTGTGACAGTACCCCAGGATGATATGGGTAGAAGCCCTGGGCAGCTGGCAGGTCTGGCAAACAGCAGCAGCAGGTGCGACGTGGCAACTGGGTCATAAAGGCAGATAAGACATGAGGGGAAGGGCAGTGTGGGCTGAGGGTGCCATGGGGCTGTGGAGAGGGCTCTGTGTGGGAGTCCCTGGCCATGCCCCCTGCCACCCTCTCCCTTACATGCTCGTTCCATCACCTGGCTTGATTTTTTCTTGCCCTCTGGTGCCTGCCTGGGTGTTTGGTTGCTCCCTGGCAAAGTCCTTCCCCTCCCTATGTCCATTCAGGCCAGCTCCGTGTGATTCAGCTGCTGGAGGGCCAGCCCCAGCCCTCTGCAGGGATCAGCTATGTCCAGAGGGGGTCTGGGCCTCAGTGGCCTCTCTCCAGTTGATGGTTCTGTCCACAAAAAGAGCCTAGGTGGGGCTGGTGCTGTGACACTGCAGGCTAAATTGCCGCCTGTGACAGCCACATCCCACATGGATATTCATTTGGGTCCCAGATGCTTCACTTCCAGTCTAGCTCCTTGCTAATGTACCTGGGAAAACAGCAGAGGATGGCCCAAGTCCTTGGCCCCTGTATCCACTTGGGGACCCAGGTGGAGTTCCAGAGTCCTGCTTCAGCCTGGTCCAACCAGCAGATAGAAGATTTTCTCTTTCTGTCCCTTCTTCTCTCCATAACTCCACCTTTCAAATAAATAATAAAAAAGTCTTTAAATTAAAAAAGAGGAGCAGCCAGGATAAAGTGGTTGTAGGCACAGCTGGTGATATGGTGAGCTCTGAGGCTCCCCTGCCTTGGATGAAGGTATCTGAGAAGGCTGCCTGGCCAGGGCCTCCCAGGAAAGCTTCTCCTCCCTCCCAGGGGGCTCCAGCCCTGAGCCAGCCTCAGTGCCCAGCATCTGCTTGTGTGGTGTCCCCAACATGGTAAGGCCATAGAATCTCCCGCTGCAGCCTCCCAGTTGCCACCAAGGTCTCCCCGACCTGCCATGGGCTCCCAGGCCCCTTGACCTCTGCTTGCTATAGCTGACCTGGCTCCTCCCACCGCAGGATCTGTCTGACCCTCATGTTTGTCTCAGATGACATGGGAGGGGTTTCCGTCATCTCTGAATTCTCATCCTTTGGGGACTCTTGGCCTATATCGTGATTTGTATTTGAGATGAGAGGGTGAGGGACACAGTGTGAATGAAGTAGGGTTCAGTAACTGAAAGGTGGGGTGCTGTGAGGGGTGGGGCTCAGTGACTAAAAGGGGGGTGCCATGAGGGGTAAGCCTTAGTGACTAAAAGGGGGTGCCATGAGGGGTGGGGCTCAGTGAGGGGTGGAATAAGGAGTTATAGCTCCATGGAGGGCTGGGGCTCAGTTGGTGTAGAGGTCAGTGCTGAGAGTGGGTCTGACTACAGGGGCAGGGACCCCACAAAAGCAGGGACCAGGAGCTGGCCGTGGGGGGGAGGGGCTGGTGCTGGCTCTTCCCAGGCCTCTCACCCTGCCAGCAGAGAGCCTTGCCCGCTATTTCCCCCCCATTAAACAAATAGTTGTTAACGGGACGGAACTGTCATAAAATCCACACCCATTCCTCTCTGCATGCTCAGCCCATCTGTCCTCATATCCCATGGGCAGACGGTGACCACCCAGGTGCCCAGGGCCAAGTCTTTAGCCTGCGGCCTGGACAGCTGGCCCTGGACTTGGAGTGTCCGTCGCTACCCCACCTCCGCCCCCCACTGCAGCAGCTTGGATGGGAGGGGCTGTGAGCTGAGGAGCTTTGAGCAGCAGGCAGTCCCAGATCCCCCTTATCAGGGGTGTGAGTGCTGGGAGGGGGACCTGGGCCTCAGCATCCCCACTTGCAGGCTCTAAGAATGCACAGTGGTGCCCAGCAATGCAGTGGCCAGGGCCTGGGCAGGACAGGACCCATTTCTGGGTGTTTGAGGTAGCACTAGGCTCAGCCAAAGTTGATTGGCCCTAACCCCGCCTCTCCCCTCTGGTCCAGGGCTATTAAGATGATGGGGCTGTCACTGAAACCGGATTTCCGGGGTCCGCCTCTCTCTCCCTCTAATGAAAGTGGGTACCTTGCTGCTTGCAGGCCCCGTTTGAGCTCACCCCTGACCCCAGACCTTCTCTTTTCATGTCTTTTGTAGGACTCTCTCACTGTTCTTAGGGTCAAGCCATGTTGCTCAGGGTAACCAGCTCCTGGCTGGCCTCATTCTTCCCAGCCATGCTAAGCTCCTTGTGGGCAGACCTTTCAGCCAACGCAGTCTTCTGTCCCCTGAGCCTTGGCATGGGCAGTTCCCTCTGCCTGCATGTCCTGTTCTCTTCCTCGGTAACCTGGACAATGTCCTCAGTGCTTTCGTTGAGGGCGCCTCCTTCTCTGGGAAACCCTCCCTGACTCCACTCCCCACCTGTGCTTGTCTAGGGCTTGGACTTGGTGCTCTCTGGCTTGTGATGCGGGGACCAGTGCCACCTTGTGGCTACTGTCTGAGATCAGGTGGCTGGGTGGGGTTTGGCTGGGGTCAGTCCCTGCTTCCAGGAAGCAGCAGCCTTCATCAGTCCAGTCCTCAGGAAGCGTGGTGCCTGTCGCTGCTTCCTTCCTACGGTGATGGACGGTTGGAGCAGCTTAGAGCCACTGCAGCGCTGCAGCCAGGTTCAAGGGTCCAGGTACAAGGACTGGAAGATGGTTCTTGCTCAGGGGCCAAGAGGGAGAGGGTCTGGCTCCAAATGCTCTGTGACCTTGACCTCCTGGGCCCTTGATCTTTCCCTGAGGCTAGAACCTTCCACTGTGGGTGACTTGCAGGCTGGCCGCTCTCCCTCCCCTTTGCTCGTCTGACTTCCCCGCCAAGGTGCCCATAGGAGCCCTAGCCCAGCATGCTCCTCCCCCGTCCAAGCCAGGCAGTTCCTATCAGTTAAGTGGGGGCTGCCCAAGAGATGCAGAACACACGCCTGTGAATCATCGGGGAGTGACACTTGGTGACAAATCAGGCACTTTGGTAAGCAGGAACAACCAGAGGCCTGGGGGAGAGACGGCATGTGTTGGGGAGTATAGAAAAACTTAGTCTGCCTACCAACCTGCCTCCTCCACCAGCATGCTTATCCTGCTCAGTGCCAACTGCTTGGGTTCAAGCCCTGTCTGTGTCACTTGGCAGGCGAGCATGCAGGTCCTGAAGCTGATGAGCCTGCCTCACTAGGGTGATCAGAGCTGGTCACCATAAGCTGCTAGGGCTTGAGGAATTTCTGGCAAACTTCAGTTGCCATGATGACTACTGGAGGTTCCCCTTCCCAAGCTTGGCACCTAATGCCGCTCTGTAGTTGGTTCCTGTGGATGGCTGGTGATGGGCAGCGTTCTACTCTCCCCCATCCTAGTCCCCATAAAGGCTTAGAGAGGTGAGGTTGTTTGCATGAGGTCAGGCAGTGGTAGTGGCAGTGGCAGCGGGAGCTGTCACTTTTCTCTGTTCACCCTGCTACCTGGGGGTGTGCACTGGACCCAGCTTGCGCTTCTCACACATCTGCTGGCCTGAAGTGTCAGACCATGGCTGCCTGCCTTGCAGCACAGAGCCCACAGCGCATCGTTCTTGCCACTTTTATTTATGTCCACCCCCCTGAGGCAGGTTGGGACCCCCGCATGTACATGTGCAAGGCCAGGCCTGATACGTGTCCCCAGACCTGATGTGTGTCCCTGGATCCAGGAGCTGAGTGGTGGGGGAAACTTGTCTTCTGTTTTTCAGAGAGGCTGTGGTCTCCCGGAAGCGGCTGAGCTGCAATGGTCTGGGGTCCTCTGACCTGCCAGGGAAGCCCTTGGCCAGGCTGGCAGCTCCGCTGGCTCCTGAAACCCAAGGTAAGGGCTGGGAGCTGGGCAGCAGCAGGGAAGGGGCATGGTGTCCACTCCCCATGTCATGCCTGTTTCTTGCCTGTCTCTATCTCTGTCGCCCTGCCCTGCATCCCCAGCAATGCCTCCATCTCATGCTCTCTCTACCGTGCCCCTAGCCGCTCTCTGCATCAGTGCTCTGGCTCTGACTGTGCCCCAGGGAACCATAGTGGCTGCCAAGAAAGGGGTATTACAAGGAGCACATGAGATGATGGGCATTAAGGGCCTGGCATCTGCCCCTGCCAGGGCTCAGCGGCAGAAGGTGCGGTTGCTGGATGGGGCTGTGGCCGTCATGCTCCCTCTGTCACTGTCTGCCCCCTTCCTGTCCACACCTGCTGCCCGCCACGTCTCTCTCTGCCTCGTGTCTCAGTCTCTCTAGGTCTCTGTCCTCTGTCTCGATGTGGAAAGTGCACAAGACTGGGAGTCAGGAGACCTGACTTGCTGAGTGATCTTGGGCAAGTCACTTCCCCTTTCTGCATCTCAGTGTCCCCATCTGTGAATTAGGGGTGCTTTGCCTACCCCGTCCCTCCCAGGGTTGCTGGGAGGATCACAGGAGAGCAGTCAGGCGAGAGGGCTCCTTCCTGTGCAGGGGCCATGGCTGTGGCTCCTTGTGTTGTGGCCTCAGGACCCTCCTCCTGGATGGCTGGGTCTCTGGGTCCCCATGTGTCTCCATCCTGGCCTCTCTCACTCTGTCTGAGTCTTTGTTTCCCTTCCTGGGTCTGGGGTCCCTTGGTGTATCTGAACCTCAGGGCTTGGCAGGACCCCCTCATTGGCTTCTCCCCACAGTTCTGGTGCTACCGCTGGTGGACAAGGAGGCTGGGGCCGTAGTAGCCGTCATCTTGGTAAGAGCTTGCTGCCAGTGTGTGGGGAGGGGGCGAAGCAGAGTGTCTTCTGGAATGTGCATGCTGAGAATGGGGTGCAGTGGAGGGAATGTGTGTTTCTCTACTACCCCGCCCCCAATCCTGCCTTCTGGCCCCAGATGGGATGGGCAGGGTGAAACCACTGACCCAGCCTGCAACCATCTGAGCCAGGTTTGGGTCCTCTCTGGCCTCCTATCCCTCTGGATCTGGAAAAGTCTGGCCCTTGCTTAGCCTTGACCTTGGTTCCTCTTTGGGGTCTTCTGCTGCATAGTCACAGTGAGGTGGGAGGGCACTGAGAGCCACTGAGGATGGATAAGATGGTGTTCTGGGCCAGCGGTTTTGGGACTGGATCAGGGGCTGTGGGTGGGAGCTTGGTAGCCCACCCAGAAGGGTCCTCAAGGGAGGCATCACATCACAGCAGATCCAGGCCAGAGGTTGGCAGCCTGGGCAGTTAGGGAGAGGAAGCCACCTGAAGCCAGAGGATCATGGAAGGGGGAAGTGGGATAGGTAGAGAGGAGATGGGCCAGGGACCCAGGCCTGGGCTCCTTGCTGCCTCTCAGCTCCTCAGCTTCCCGTTGCACCTGCCATGGAGACTCACGGGCTGGGGGTAGTCTCGGTCGCTGATTCTTATGTCCTTCCTCTCTGCGTGCAGGTGGAAATTTTAAATCCTTATCCCATCCCAGGAAGTGTGAGCACCCCAAGTCCTCCTCACTGGAGGTCTGCTTCTGCTCCTAGAAGGGCAGGCCTTGTGCCCCAGAGTGCCAGGAGACCCTGCTGAGCTTGTTAAAAGGGAGTGAAAGGTCTCCCCAGCGGGCACTGGCCTTTGCCAGTTGCTGGAGGGTGAAGGGAGGATGCAGGACTGGGAGGAGGGTATGCCTGGCTTGGCTTCCTTGCACCCCATCTGCCTGGCTGAGGGCTGCTCCCCCAGCTCCCAGCGTCTGCTCCAGTGGACCACTCCCCCTGCCTGTGCTCTCTGGGTGGTCCCAGAACTGGCTGGCTCTCAGGAGTACCAGGACACAGGGAAGCATGAATTGTGCTGTGGGGAGGCAGGGCTCAGGTGCACGTCTCCTTCTGTATTGACAAAAAGGGGTCAGGAGTCGGGGGTGCCAGGATCCTGAAAAGCCCTTCCTGTGGGCTGATGGTTGTTTTTCTGTGGGCAGGGCGGCTGGTGGGGTAAGGAGTTCAGACTCCAACCTTCCCCTCGGACAGGAAAGGCCAGAGTGTGTGTGTGTGTGTGTGTGTGTGTGTGTGTGTGTGTGTGTGTGTGTGTGTGTGTATGTTGTGTACCCCATGTGCATTTTGTATGTGCACAGGTATACATGCATGTGTATTGCAGTATGTGCACACATGTGTGTGTGTGTTCAGGAAGGTTCAGTGTCAGATCACTTAACCAACACACCCAGCAGAATCTGCTCTGATCCTGCCCCAGGCTGGGTGCTGGGGTCTAGGACAAAGCCTTTTTGTCTTGTAGGAGCTCTCTGGGGCAGGCTGGGGTACCCTGGGGCCACTGGCCCAGGGAAATCACTGCTGCCAGCAGTGCTGTGTGGCTGAGAGGGGAGTAGCAAGGGAAGTGGCAGGGAGTGTGCTGGCAGGGGTGGGGGCTGTGGGGCAGGGGCAGGGCCAGCAGCAGAGGAGGGGGAAGGGGAACAGCTTGAGGAAGGTGGGGAAGTGGGTGTGTGATAGTGGGGAGGTTGGGGCTGGTGCACGTTCTTGGCCAAGGGGCTGCTGGACGTTTGCAGCTGTCCCCTCACCTCTCAGGAGGGTTTGAAGTCTTCCTCTCCTCTGTCAAGCTTGCCCTTTCATGCCCAGGGAGACACTCCCAGTGCATGTGCATCTCACAGATGCTTCTGGGCTTGCAGAGGTGGCCCAGGCAGTCCCAGACCTCCCCTGGGGGTAGAGTGCGTGCCCCTGGGCAGCTCTTGGGGAGGGCAGAGCCACCAGCTCCTTGTTCTGTCCATCCCCTGGCTGAGCTTCTGCTCTAGTGTCCATGGATCACCCATCCATGCATCCATCCAGCAACCTGGCCCTCACCCATCATCTCCATGCCCACTAGGTACCCGCTCCTGTGTGCTAGGTGTGAGGAGCGGAGGACCAGGGCAGACCAGTCAGGCGCTGCTTCCACATTCGACCTTGGAGAGGCATCAACATAGACTTGTGGATGATGGCAAGTGCCAGACAAAAACTCAGGGGGCCCTGCAAGGGGGTCTGGGGTGCAGTCAGCTGAGGGTGCCTGTGGAATGTGCCATGCAGGTGCAGGGCTGCATGGCTGCATGGGTCTCTGTGGCTTGAGGAGCCGTGATTGTAAACTCTGCCTTTGGTTCTGCTCTTTAATTCCAGGCTAGTAAGTCCCTTGGAGGAGTGGGCGGCCCTTAGATGCTGACATTTAATGCTTGATTTGTGCCCACTGTTCCGCCAGCTGTGCCAGCCACCATGATCTTTGTACTGGGATAGACCATTTATGCCATTGGGCATATCACACTGGCCGTGGAGAGGAATAGGGGGTAGATGGCACTGGATCAGGCCCTCTGCTGTCTCAGCCTCCAGTGCTTAGTGCTGAATGCTCCTACGTGGAACACCAGACACCCACCTGAGTCGCAGGGACAGGTGGGAGAAGGCCATGGGTATAGGTGTGGATGTGAAAGGGACTCTGTGTGTGTGTGTATGTACGCGCATGTGTGTATATACATGCTAGGGTGTCAGGCTCATGTGCATGAGGACAGCAGAGATAGCATGGATGTGTGTGTGAGACCTCCATGTGTGAGAGAGGAGCATGTGTGTGGCGGGGCTGAGGCTCTGCATGACTCTGTGTGTGTGTGTAGGTGTGTGCGCGCGCTGAGAGGGTTGGCCGAGGCAACCCTGCGTGTGTATGTACTGGGGAAGGGGGATTCCATGGTTGCTACCCTCCCTCCTGGCTCTGGACTGGGACCCAGCTGCCGGGGCAGCCCAGGAGCTGTGTGTCTTGACAACCCTGGAAGGATACCAGCCTTTCCTTTCTCTCAGGGCTGGGCCCAGGTCAGAAGGACAAGAGTGCCAGTCAGATACCAGCATGTAACCACCTGTCATGCCCTGACTTCATCCTTCCCCACCCTGTGGCAGTCACAGACAGAGCCTTGCCACAGCCTGTTTGGGACTCTGGGACCTCCTGCCTCCCTGATCACTTCCTCCAGTCCACCCTGCACCCCACTGACATCTGCTATGGCTGCCTGGCACTCTCAGAATGCAGTCCACCTACTTAGTGCAGCGTCTCGTCCCCAGCCCAGCCTGATCCTCATCTCCCCCTATACCTCCCATCCCACACCACCAGCACCTGCCTGCTGGGCCCTGGCCTCACGACCCTTCTAGGCAATTCTAGAAGCTTCCCAGATGGGCCCCCGTGTTGAGCTCCCCCGTGCTGTGCACCCTGTCTGCCCTCTCCTCCCTTCCCAGGTGTGGGAGCCTGCACTCCCCACGGCTGTGTCCCCCACTCATCCCACCCCAGCAAGACCTCATGCTTTTCTCCATGTGCTCCTGGCAGCATCCCAGAGCAGAGGCAGCAGGGGACGAGGAAGGGAGGGAACCCCTCCCAGTGCAGGTACAGAGAACTAACTCCTGCAGGTGGCAAGTGGCCTTGAGCATGCCGTGCTGCAGGTGGGAGCTTTTCTGGCCGGGTCCATGGCGGGCTAAGGCCTGCCCATCTCAAGGTCTGGTTTTCCTCCACAAGCACCCAAGCAGAGTTGGGGTGTTTGAAGGATGGGCTGAAGGGAACCCTGGCAACCAGCACACAGAATCAAACTGGAGAGGAACAGGATGGGTGGAGAAAGGAAGGTGTGGGCAGAGAGAGGTGTGGGAGTGACCGGTGCCAGCCATGCCATTTCTGGCTGCATGATCTTCCTGGGTTTTGGCTCATCTGCAGGGCAGAAACTGGAAGCATGCAGGGGTGGAAGCAGAGCGTTCATCAATCCTTTTATCCATCCATGAGCTCGGCCCTTCATTCCTTTGCCCCACCCCTGCACATGCAACCTGTTGGACTGCTTCCTGTAGTCCAGACTTTGGGTAGCTCAACCCCCCAGAGAAGGTGGAGCTGGGAGGCCGAGGCTCACAGCCTGGGCTGGGTGGGTGGAGGTGATTCCAAGCCACACACCTCTCGTCCTCCCCCCCCCCCCACACACACACCAGGACCATGATGCTGACAGGACAAGGGCCAGAAGGCAGAAAAAGTGGGTCAGTCCTGGAAGGCTTCCTGCAGGAGGAGGTCTTTGCTGAAGCCACCTGGCTCGTCACAGGGTCCTGCAGAGTGGAGTGTATATGTGTGCTGCTGGGGCCTGAGTGTGCAGTGCCCAAGAGAGGACACAGCACGTGCTCCCCTCCTTCCAGGTACACTGCGGCCAGCTGAGTGACAATGAAGAGTGGAACCTGCAGGCAGTGGAGAAGCATGTGAGTGAGGCAGGGTGTTGGGGAAGGTGGCCCGGTCAGGGTGTGGACAGACCCAGGCTCCAGGGCGGCTCCACCCCCAGCAAGTGAGTCCAGCTCCCTGAGCCTCCATTCCTTAGTTCAGAGTGGAGATTATAATAGCACCCTGAGCCGCCTGGGGTAGTGGCAAGAAAAGATGGCCAAACCCTGGTAAACAGGCAGGAAGGATGGTCCTTAGCGAGGACAACTCCCTGTGAGTGGAGACAGAGAAATGGGACCTTGGAAGGAGCCAGGAGCTGTGCTGGAGAGCAGAGATGCGCTAAAGGTGTGGAAGCTGGCAGGAGGGCAGAGGGCCAAGGATTGGGTAGTTTGGGATCAGGTTCTGATGATGGACACTGCAGTGGCACAAATACAGCTAGGGTGGAGCAAATGATGTGCTAACTTCTTGGCCCTCTCCAGACCCTGGTGGCTCTGCGGAGGGTGCGTGCCTTGCAGCAGCGGGAGCCCAGCGCGGCCCCTGGAGCCATCCAGAATGCCCAGGTGGAGGTGGTGGAAGACCAGAAGGGCGGGGACGCCCATACGGACCAGGATCAGAAGATTCTGCAGCTGTGCGGTGAGGACCCAGCCTGGGTGGACCCCAGGGAGAGACCGGGTTGATCTGAGCAAGGGGCCAGATGGTGGGCAGAGTCTGGGCGGCAGGTGCGCGGGGAGGCAGAGCCTCATCTAGAGAGAATGGCGCTGGAAGGCGGAGCCTCGCGGCCAGGATGATGCCCTCTCTGACCCGCACCCGGCCTTTGTAGGGGAGCTTTACGACCTGGACGCCTCCTCCCTGCAGCTCAAAGTCCTCCAATACGTGAGTCCCTGACTCCTGGCACCCAACCCTCTGGCAGGATTCCCACGTGCTGCCCTTCCCCACTCCTCCATTCTTTTGGAGACTGTCAGAGAGGCGGGGGTAGGGGTGGGGAGAAGAGGGGGGGAATGGTGATCAGCCTCTCACCCTGCCCCTCCTTACCCCACAGTTGCAGCAAGAGACTCAGACAGCTCACTGCTGCCTCCTGCTGGTGTCCGAGGACAATCTCCAGTTGTCCTGCAAGGTGGGGCTCCAGGCCTCTATGGGGTGTCCTGGAGCTGGGCTGGGTGGGGACCCAGGCTTTGGGTGGACAGGGAAAAGCTCTGTGGTCACTGAGAGACCGGCTCTGCCATTCCATCCCTTCCTCAGGTCATCGGAGACAAAGTGCTGGGGGAAGAGATCAGCTTTCCGGTGAGTTTCTGGTGGACAGAGGCCGGAGTCTGGAAGGGCACTCCAGGAGTCTGTCCCAGACACAGATCTTCCAGGCTCTCTTGGGATCTGATGGGATTATCTGGATCTTGGGTTGTGAAGAATCTTCCAGCACATCCTGAGTCTGACAGGCTAAGCATCTGTTAGAATCCTGGTTGGGGACTGGCTTCTCTCCCGTCTAGAATCTTCTCTATGGGATTCTGCCAGACCAGCCTTCCTCCTCCTGCCATTGAGTCCACCCTCAATGGGGACTAACTAATAAAGTTGGTGAAGCCTTGCAGACTTGGGCTGAGAATGGGTCAAGAGGTCCTGGTCTGCAGATGCCGGGACCCTGACCCAGCTTCTCCTCACCCCCTCAGCTGACGACAGGACGCCTGGGCCAGGTGGTGCGTGACAAGAAATCCATCCAATGGAAGGACCTTACCTCTGTAAGCTATGACTGGAGGAGGGGGAGAAGGAAGTCTCTACTGCCCAGCCCCCACAGCCAGGGCTTGTGACAGGGCAACCTAGGAACAGGAAAGACAGGACCTGCCCCATACCCTGCTCTGCTTCTGCCATGCTTGCATCTTTTAGAAGCACCTGTTGCATGGGGGTGGTGGTGGTAGGGTCATGTGGTGACACATGTTCACTGCCCTCACTTCCCTCTCTTCCACAGGATGATGTGCAGCAGCTGCAAAGCATGCTGGGCTGTGAGGTGCAGGACATGCTCTGTGTCCCTGTCATCAGCCGGGCCACTGACCAGGTGGTGGCCTTGGCCTGCGCCTTCAACAAGCTCGGAGGAGCCTTGTAAGTCCAGGTGGGCGGGGCAAACGTGGCTCAGGAGCTGCTGGCCGAGGCTGCGTTCAGAGAGAGGCCAGCAGGACGCAGGGCTTGCTTGTCCAGCAGGTGTCTGCGGCCCAAGGCCAAGAGCTCAGAGCTGTCAGTGGGGAGTCAGTGGGGAGTCAGTGGGGTGTACAGGAGACAGTTGGGTGGGCCCAGGGGGACATGAACCAGCCAAGGTGGGACAGGCAGCTGGTGACGGACGCTGAGCATTTCATATGTGTGTTCCAGGGCTGGCTGTTTGGCCCCAGGAAGGCTGGGGAGGAGGGGATTGCACAGTGTGGGGCCCAGGCAGGGCCAGGAGCACTGGGGCCTGTCTCTGAGACCCAGCTCTGCCATGGTTCCTGGCTGCTGCAGGAGATGTTTCATTGTAGGACAACCAGACAAGAACTGGATGGCAAGTCCCTGAGGCCCAGGGCAGGACCCCCTCTGTCCCACACATGTTAAGGAGTGTGGAACTCATGAGCAGTGACCAAAGTGTTGGAGCCCAGCTCCCTAGCCAGAGAAGGGCTGTTCCAGAATCCCTCCCACTGGCTGTGGGATGGAGCTGGTGGTAAGGTCAGGGGAAGGGCCAGTTAAGACATTTTACAGATGCTTCCCATGGCACAGTCAGGGCTCTACCTACAGGGGCTGAAGTTGACCTTCAAAGCCAGCAGGAGGAAGGCAGAAAGGGTGTTTGAGACCAGGGAACAGTATGGCCAGGAGCAGGGAGGTGGGGACGAACCAGGCTGAGGTTTGGGGATCCAGCCACATTGGTGGGGGGAGTGGGCAGAAGCAGGCTCCCTCATCACCTCCACCATCAGCCTCTCCAGCTCCTGCAGCTTTGTGCCTAGAGGTCAGTTGGTGGCCAGTTTGAGTGACCTTGGCTTAGAGATTTCTGCAGCTGCTAAAGCAGGCCCAGATAGAGACAGACGGTTGGGGCAGGAGCTGGACACACAGGGGGCAGTGCTGCTGCCCCTCCATGGGGCTGTTGGTGTGTGTGGGGGATACACCAAGGGAAGAACAGGATGCCAGCTGTAGATGGGGCAGATTTCTTGTTGAAGGAGAACACGTTTTGACCTGAAGAGTAGTGGGAGCTCTGAGGGGAAGCTGGAACAGCGAGGAGGGAGTCTGCATCAGCTGGTGGCTATCCTGGTAGGCTCCTTGGAGGAATGGAAGTAGGGATGGGGGAGCAAAGAGCTGCAGCCCCACTCCCCACTGTGAACCCTCATGCCCCACCCCTAGATTCACAGAGCAGGACGAACATGTGATCCAGCACTGCTTCCACTACACGGGCACAGTGCTCACCAGCACCCTGGCCTTCCAGAAGGAGCAGAAGCTCAAGTGTGAGTGCCAGGTGAGCCACCTGCTTCAAGCATCTCTGAGCATCTCTCAGAGACCCACTTGCCACATCCTCTGCTCCAGGGAGTCATCCACAAGGAAACACTCCTTTCCCCTCTGGGTTCCTGGCAGGCTTGCCCTGGGGCAACTGTGTAACCTGTAACCCACAGGCTTCTTGGGAGGGCCAGGCAGGGCTTTCAAGGGTCTGGACACGAGCTGCAGGCCTTGGGTGTGACCGCCCTCTAGTGTTCAGTGCATGTACTACAATAAAGGATTAGGCAACTGGACTTCACGAAAATGGAATTTTGTTTATTTTGGTGCGAAAAAGAAAAAGAGAAAAAAAGATAGAAATCTACAGCAAGTGTTTTTAATAGTATGCATTTCCACCAATTTCTTGAAGACACCCCAACCCATATGCTCTTATTTCAAACATTTTGGCACCAAGACAGCTTTCCATTTTCCATGAAGTTTTTGAAAGACTCTGTATCTTAGAGAAATAGATTTCTGCCTCTGTCACCCACGCTCTTAGTGGCCAGGTGATGATGTCATTAGACCCTGCTCATCTTCAGCTCCATCCTGAGCTTCCTGCGATCTGTACCTCTTGCCTCCTAGGCGCTTCTTCAAGTGGCTAAGAATCTCTTCACTCACCTAGGTGAGTGCTCTGCCCTCCCTCAGGCCTGGCAGTGGGCTGGGCGCAGGTGGGCGCAGGTGGGCACAGGTGGGCGCAGGTGGGCGCAGGTGGGCGCAGGTGGGCACAGGTGGGCACAGGTGGGCACAGGTGGGCGCAGGAGGGCACAGGTGGGCTCAGGTGGGCCTGGGGCTGGGGGACTGGCCCAAGCACTGCAGCTGGCTCTCACCACCGTCCCTCCTGCAGACGACGTGTCTGTGCTGCTGCAGGAGATCATCACGGAGGCCAGAAACCTCAGCAATGCCGAGATGTGAGTGGATCCGTCTATTTTCCTTGCTGTCTGCCTGTATGCTGCTGGACCAAGGCTGGCTTTGCTGGCACACAGGAGGGGACATCTACCCCCAAATCACTTAAATGGCCGAGTGCCAGTTCAGAGGAGCCCCAGTGCTCAAGTGGGGGATTGTGGAGGATAGATGCGGGGCGAGACCTCTTAGACCCCCACGCACACCCTCTCTGCAGCTGCTCCGTGTTTCTGCTGGATCAGAATGAGCTAGTGGCCAAGGTGTTCGATGGGGGCGTGGTGGACGATGAGGTGAGTGCTGCACCTGGCCCTGGGGCTGCCCGGGGTGTGTGTGTGTGTGTAGCGGGGTGTGGTGGGGAGGGGTTCGGGGGACAGTACGCAGGGGGCTCAGAGCCACCAGTTTTCTCACCACCTTGGCAGAGCTACGAGATCCGGATCCCTGCTGACCAGGGCATTGCAGGCCATGTGGCGACCACGGGCCAGATCCTGAACATCCCTGACGCCTATGCCCACCCACTCTTCTACCGCGGCGTGGATGACAGCACTGGCTTCCGCACGCGCAACATCCTCTGCTTCCCCATCAAGAATGAGAACCAGGGTGCGGGCCTGGAGGAGCTGGGCCCTGGGGTGCGGGTGTCCTGGGGGTAGGGGTGGGGCAGGACTCGAGGGATCCCAAGCTAGGCATGAGACCTGGCCTGAGGAAACTCCAGGAGGGCAGGTCCATCTCTCCCACCCCTCTAGCAGTTGCTCCTGTCCTCTCCCCTTCTTCAGAGGTCATCGGGGTGGCTGAGCTGGTGAACAAGATCAATGGGCCGTGGTTCAGCAAGTTCGATGAGGACCTGGCCACGGCCTTCTCCATCTACTGCGGCATCAGCATCGCACATGTGAGGCGGCACCTGGCCCTGGACTTGGGCGGGATCCTCCATTCTGCGTACCACTGGCTTTCCTTGCCATATCCAGAGGGGTGGGCCCAGGAGGTCTGCTGCTGGCGGCTGGTGCAGCCTTCTACACCTGCTGCCCACTTCTGGACTCAGTGTCCCACCTGATCACTGGGGGATGCTATTTCTTTCTTTGTCCACTCAGCATCCCAGGACATGGGAAACCCTAGTAGTCAAAAGCAGCCCCCTTCTCTGGTAGCAGACCCTACACAAAATGCTGGTCAGCTTCTTTTAAAAAATGTCGGGTCTTTGTGTCTGGGCTTGCTGGCAGCTCTGGCCTGGGAATCTAACCGGAGTCGGTCCTCCCATCCCCCATCCTACATTGCTTCCCAGCCCTGGGCCCGGCTCCATGGCTCAAGATTGGGTCTAGGCTTTGCAGGGCTGCAGAGGGCCAGAGCAGGGGCTGAACCTACTGGGAGGTCCTGACAATGCTGGGACAGGGTCTGTCCCAGAACAATGGGACAGAGAGGGGGCTTCCCACATGACCCACAACCCAGGTCCAGGCATTGCTAAGATTTTACAACCAGCTTGCCTGAGCTCTTCCTCCCTCTCTCTGCCCCTAGTCCCTCCTCTACAAGAAAGTGAACGAAGCCCAGTACCGCAGCCATCTGGCCAATGAGATGATGATGTACCATATGAAGGTGAGGCATGCCCTGCTCTCTCATCCTTCTCCAGCCCTGGGACCCCGCCCCTCCCCAACACTTCCCTGCCCCTCCCCAGCCACACCTGGCGGGCAGTCTTTCTTCTAAGCTGTTTCTCGGGTTGAAAGTAGCCAGCAGTACCCAGTCTTGGCAAAAATTGGCTTCTGCTCCTATTCCCTGTATCCAGGGGAACAAACCTGGGAATTGCCAAAGCCTGGGAACTTTCATATCCCCACAGCTCCCCAGGTGGTCCTGGGCAGTCCTCATGGCTGATACTCCGTCCCATTCCCAGACCTGAGTCCAAAATGCTTAAGTCTTAGCTCTAAGTGTGTGGGCATCCTTGCTTGTTTGGACGTTGTCTCTCCCCTGTGTCCAGAGAAAAGCTTCTGGACACTGGGCCTGGGCTCAGAGCTGTGGTGGGAAGGAGCAAATGAGACAGGGAGCAGGCCAGATGAAGGGCTGCAAGTTAGTGGCCACAGAAGGTTGCTATGGTTTGGGGGAATCGTGAGGGGCATCTCCTCTGCCTTAGGGTGGTCACAGGCAGGCAGGTGCAGGAGGTGGGTTGCAGGTTGTGGGGAGAGGGGGGAATCTCTTGTCCAGTGGCCTTCCGGTGAGTGGCTGTGGTGCACTGTGGGTGAGGACCCCCAGGACTTTGACATTGGGTCGGGGAGGTCCTCTAACGCCCCGGCCTGTCCCGTCTAGGTCTCTGATGATGAATACACCAAACTCCTCCACGACGGCATCCAGCCTGTGGCTTCCATTGATTCCAACTTTGCCAACTTTACCTATACACCACGCTCTCTGCCGGAAGATGACACGTCCATGGTGCGCTGGCTCCTCTCCAACCTCTTGGCGGGCTGGGGTGGCACGGGGGAGGGACTGTGCTGCCAGGGGTTTAGGGCAGATGTGTGTCAGAACTTCCTGGTGAGACAGAGTTGTCAAGAAAGCTGAGGAGGTGCCCTGAGGGTGAAGAGCGGTCTCGGGGATTTTTTTTTTTTGTGAGCTTTGTTACTGAGTTCTTAGTGCTGAGATCTCTTAGAATTTTTCTTTCTCTCTTTTTAAAAAGGTTTATCTTATTTGAAAGTCATAGTTACAGAGTGTGACAGAGATGCAGAGACAGAGATCGTCTGTTCACTGTTCACTCCCCAAATGGTCTCAATGGCCAGAGCTGGACCAAGCTGAAACCAGGATCCTGGAGCTTCTTCCTGATCTCCCACATGGGTGCAGGGGCCCAAGCCCTTGGTTTATCCTCTGCTGCTTTCCCAGGTGCATTAGCAGGAGCTGGATTGGAAGTGGAGCAGCCGAGACATGAACCAGTGTCCATATGGGATGCTGGCGTCACAGGCTGAGGCTTTTGATGGTGTGCCACAGTGTCAACTCGCTAGAACCCTTAGATTTGTCAGAGCTCATGGCTCTGAGAATGCATGGTCTGACTGTTTTAGGGCTCTCTCTAAAGATTATGTTTGAGACTCAAAATTTTCTGAGTGTAGGGCTTCAAGAAAGGCGGAGGCTAGAGCCCCGCCACCTTGACCACCCTCACGGCCTCTCTGCTGTCCTCTTTGCCCCAGGCCATCCTGAGCATGCTGCAGGACATGAACTTCATCAACAACTACAAGATTGACTGCCCCACTCTGGCCCGGTGGGTGCCCCCGCCCCCACTATCCCGTCCATGCAGGGAGGGGTCTTCCTGAGGACCTGGAGGCCAGGCCTGGTGTAGCGGGGGAGGTGGTGAAGAGAGAGGGGCGAGGAATGGGGCAAGGCAGAGCCTGGAGGGCTGAGGCCTCCGTGCTGGCTAACCCCTGCCAGGTTCTGTCTGATGGTGAAGAAGGGCTACCGTGATCCTCCCTATCACAACTGGATGCACGCCTTTTCCGTGTCCCACTTCTGCTACTTGCTCTACAAGAACCTGGAGCTCTCCAACTACCTCGAGTGAGTGCTGCCCAGGGTGGGCGCGGCTGTCTCCCCAGCCACATGGCCAGTGAGTAGCAAACTAACAGGTCTGCTCCAGCCTAGCTCTGCCACATGCTGGGGTGGGATGTCTGCCTGGGAAGGGGCTGCAGGTGTCCCAGGCTGCTAGGCAGGTGGCCTCCCATCCCACCAGCCCCCCCTCCCTCTGACACCAGGAACCAGCAGGGTGGCTGACTTCCTCCTCCTTCTTACCAGGGACATCGAGATCTTTGCCTTGTTCATTTCCTGCATGTGTCATGACCTGGATCACAGAGGCACGAACAACTCTTTCCAGGTGGCCTCGGTGAGAACTTGCTCCTTGGCTAAAGCGAAGATCCAGGGTTGAGGGGGAGAGGGAGGAGCCCTGGAGCCAAGGGAGTCTGGGAGGTGCATGGAGGGTGCAGAGGGGCGGGAGGAGGGCAGGGGCAGCAGGGTAGAGGCCCCTGATGGAAGTCATCCTACCTGGGGCATGGGGAGTGAAGGCTGCTTCTTCGGGTTTTTGCAGAAGTCCGTGCTGGCTGCGCTCTATAGCTCCGAGGGCTCTGTCATGGAGGTACCACCACTCTGCTTGGCCCATCCTGTGCCCCATTCCTTGGGTTGGGGAGCATGACTGGCATAGAGAGATGGTGACCCAGTCCCCTAGCTCCACCCGTTTCAATCCCCAGCTGTGCACATGGACTCTCGAGTGCTCAGCCCGCTTAGGCAGCTCCGGTCCTTAGTCTAGCCAGAGTGGTTTTGGTGAGGTTGCAAAGGGTGGATTGTGGCTGGCACATTTCCCTGGGGTGTCCTGGGTGGTGTGCAGCCCCTGCCACACTCAGCTCTGCCTTAGCTGGTTTGGCTTGGGTCTGTACCCCTCCACACACGGACAGGGGCTTCCTGAGGCAGGCACAGGTATGAGACAGCTCTGAGTTTCCTGTACTGGGCATAGAGTGGGGACAAGATTTCCAAGGTCACCTGGCCTCCTGCTGTCTCCTACAACATTGCACACACACACACATACACACACACACACACACACACACACAACATGATGCTGTCCCTTGGGAGGTCTAGTGGCAGGCTCTCCCCTCCTGCTCCTTCTCCGAGTGACAGCCCTTCAGTGCTGGGAGACAAGGCCCTGCCCTTGCCTTGTTGCCTTCTTTCTTTGGTGGTGGGAAGTGTTGCCTGCATGAATTAATGTCTAGGATGCCAGGAATGGTTTCATAAGCACCCCCATGGGCGAGACCCTCGGAGACCTGGAGCGGGGAGCCCTCCCCTCCATGTGAATCAGGCTCGCAGTTGCCAGGGCCTTGCCCCCCATCATGTAGAAGGTGATGGCAGTGCATAGAGAGGGTCCTGAGCCCCTTTGCTCTCCTTCGTTGGCTCTGCCCAGCCTGGGTTCAGGTGAGGGGAGGCTCTGTGCCCCAGCTGGGTCCTCCCCAACATGCATTTCCCTCCACCCCAGAGGCACCACTTCGCTCAGGCCATCGCCATCCTCAACACCCATGGCTGCAACATCTTTGACCACTTCTCCCGGAAGGTGATGGGGGCACATGTGGGTGGGCGGGGTGGAGGCTCTGGGGGCTGGGGTGCAGCAGGAAACTCCTGACACCCCACCACCACCCATCACAGGACTATCAGCGCATGCTGGACCTGATGCGTGATATCATCCTGGCCACGGACCTGGCCCACCACCTCCGCATCTTCAAGGACCTTCAGAAGATGGCTGAAGGTGGCCACTGTCAGCTTCGACCTTGGGGCTGGGGAGGGACATGATGGTGGAAAGGGGGAGCGTTCCAGCCCACCATCCCCCCAGTACCCCTCCTTCCTTGGCTGTACCATGCTTCTGGGGGCCCATCAGGAGGGCTCAGCTTGCTAGGCCACTTAGGAGTCACCAAGAGGATGAGGGGTCTTGGCTGACTCCATGCTCCCCTCCCTCAAAAGTGGGCTATGACCGAACCAACAAGCAACACCACAGGCTCCTGCTCTGTCTTCTGATGACTTCCTGCGACCTCTCGGACCAGACCAAGGGCTGGAAGACGACGAGGAAGATCGCGGTACGCTCCCTGTCTCACTGCAGGGGCACTGTCTGGCTCTATGTGACCCACCCGATTCCCCACCCACTGAGCTCAGCCTGCGAGACAGAGACCTGGACAATCTCAGGTCATAGATAGGGAGGCACAAAGAGGGCGCCAGCCTACCCAGGGCTGTGCTGCATATCCCTGGCTGGTGGAAGGCTGGGTCCAGGCCGCCTCTTCCCATCTGGGCCCATGCCGCTGCCAGGCTGGGCCGGAGGTGGTCAGAGTCTCTGGGCCTTCGTGGCAGGGTCCCTTGTACGCAGTTGTTGCAGGAACATGGGTGGGTGGAGCCTGCTTGCAGGCTGTGCTAAGATTGTGCTTGCCTTTCAGGAGCTGATCTACAAAGAATTCTTCTCCCAGGGAGACTTGGTAAGAGTGTGTCTCAGGGTATCCTGGTTGGGGGAGGGACCAGGGGTGTCTGATGGACCGGAGGGCCGGGCCTGCTGACCTGCGTCCACAGGAGAAGGCCATGGGAAACCGGCCCATGGAGATGATGGACCGCGAGAAGGCCTACATCCCCGAGCTGCAGATCAGCTTCATGGAGCACATTGCCATGCCCATCTATAAGTGAGTGAGCGTGCAGTCCTGCCGGGAGTGGGGCTGGTGGGGCAGGCCAGCTCATCACTGTATCATGGTGCTGGCTGCCCACGGTCTCACCTCAGACCTCTGAGCCTGCCCCTACCCCCTTCTCCGTGCCAGGCTGCTGCAGGACCTGTTTCCCAAGGCGGCCGAACTGTATGAGCGAGTGGCCTCAAACCGGGAGCACTGGACCAAGGTGTCGCACAAATTCACCATCCGCGGCCTCCCCAGCAACAACTCGCTGGACTTCCTGGACGAGGAGTACGAGGTGGCTGGGCTGGATGGTGCCAGGGCCCCTGTCAATGGCTGCTGTGGCCTGGACACTGAGTGACACTCTTCCTAGGGGACTCCCCCCACCCCAATCTCCTTCACCACTCAGTTCTCTCTCCACATCCCTTCCCTGGACCAGCCAGATAAACTGGGAACCAGAGCCATGGTCCTGAATTGTAGACCAGGACCTCCTGTGTGACCCTGGGCAAGTCCTGACCACCCTGGGCCTCACTTTCCTGTCTGTAGAATGGACATGAGGCTTCTGTCCTCACCAAGACCTTGTCATCTGTTTGGCCAGAGCAGGCAGGATCAGAGCAGATTCTGCTGGGTGTGTTGGTTAAGTGATCTGACACTGAACCTTCCTGAACACACACACGCACACATGTGTGCACATACTGCAATACACATGCATGTATGCCTGTGCACATACAAAATGCACATGGGGTACACAATGTGTACACACACACACACACTCACACACACACACACACACACACTGGTCTTTCCTGTCCGAGGGGAAGGTTGGAGTCTGAATTCCTTACCCCACCAGCCGCCCTGCCTTCCCCTCAGCTCTGACCACACCCGGACAAGTCCTCTCCCCAGGCCTCTTCTTCCAGGCAGCCCTAGGTGGGTAGGTTCCTGTGTGCCTCTGTCCCACTTGCTGGGTCCTTTTCCCCTTTGCGTCTCTAGGATCCTCTTGAAGGGTAAGGTAGGGAAGTAGAGTGTAGAGTTGGACCAGCCATGGGGGGAAGGTGCCCCCCACTGGAGGTTCCCCATGGGACTCCCAATGGGCTTTGGGACTTGACTGACCCCCTGCTCCTCAGCTGGAAGTCATCAGAGGCTCTAAAAGATAGCAAGATAGAGTTGACAGAGCCAAGTGGGAGTGGGTTATGCTGCTTGCCGGCTGGGTGGCCTCCAGGGCAGTCCCTTCCCCTAGCTGGGCGACACAGGAGGCTAAGATGGTCAGATTTCTAAGTTTTCTTTAGGTCCCCATCATCCTGTGGGGTCCCAGCAGAGGCCATGTGCTCTCTGTCACTCTTGGGCACACAGAGCCCTGCTCTGAGCACCTGAGCATACCTCCTTGGCCTGGGACCTCCCCAACTCCTACAGCCGGAGGGGCTCTGGCTCGGCCCTGGCAGGATTTTCCTTCCTCTTCAAGGCCATATCCATCTGTGTCCCGGGGGCTGCAGAGGCCCCTCAGGGCCAGGTGTCGGGTCAGCCCAGCTGCTGGCTTCTCTCTTTTCTGTGTCGTCCTGTACGTGTCGTGGGGTGGGGGGAGGGGGGCCACCTGCCTTACCTATTCTGAGTTGCCTTTAGAGCGCTGCGTTTTTCTAGGACTCTGTGCAACTGTTGTATATGGTCTCGTGGGCTGACCGCTTTGTACAGAAGAATAAATCTATTTCTTTGTACCAGTCCTCCCCCAGGGTGCTATTTGGAGACTATGCCTGGGGGGCGGGCAGGACAGAACGGGGAGAAGCAAATGCCCTTTGGAATTCCCTGGCTGTGGAAGTTCCTCATGCCTGGTGCCCAGCCCTGCCCCGGGCCAGGTGGTAGGAGAATAAATGTGGGCATCAGGTGAGGAGGCTGGGCACGGAGCAGTGAGAGAACATGAGGTTTTGCAAAGACTGGAGGTCTGGAGGTTGAAGCGATAGAGAGACTGCCTGGAGGAGGTGGCCTAGAGCTCCTCCTACATCTCGCATGTGCTGGTCTTTCCTGATCACAGCTGTCCATACAGCCAGGATCTAGCCCTCTGGCCTCTGCAGGCTGCAGGGGTGCCTGTCTGTGTCCCCATAGCCTCGTGTCCTGGGTTCTATGAGTCCTGCTGAAGGGTTGGCCCTGCCAGAATGACCTGGGTCATGTAGGGAATTCGTGTCCTGCTCTCCTGACTATGAGAGGTAGGGGCAGCCGCCACAGGAGGCTGAAGGCGGGACAGCCCTGACGCCCTACCAGTCTGTACCCCTCCTGCCTGCTCTTCCTATTCCTTCCCTCTGTCCATGCTGCAGAGCGCTAAGCACTGAGGTCTGCTTTCTTGCAGGGAGGGCAGGCAGGGAGAAGATGGACAGGGCTATCGTGTGATGCCCCCCAGCAGTGCCCCTGGGATGCCAGCTGCACCTTGTGGCCATCTGTGCCCCTGCTCCCCAGCCTGCCATGGTTTAGTGCTCACTCCTCTGGCTGAAGGATCTTGGCAACCTCCAGCCTTCCTGCTGGCCCTGGGCTCCAGGTCCCTTCCCTGCCCAGATGTGTCGGACTCCCTCAGGTGGATTCTGTCCTCTCTTAGCACAGCTCCTAGGCCTGGCCAGAGGGCTCCCAGTCAGGCTGGGGTCAGGCTCAGCAGGAGGAGACAGGAGACGGCTGTCCTAATGGTACCCAGCCAAACATGGAGGCAGCATTGGCTGGCATGGCTGTTGTCCTGCCTGTGACACCCTGTGCACCAATGTGTATGCATGAGCATCTATCTCTATATCTTTTGTCCTTTGGGCAGATAGGAAGCACAACCTGGTGTAAATCCTAAGGGCATTGCCTCCCTCCCATTGCCTTCTTTGGTTTCATCTTCTCTTGTCACCTGTTTGAGTGAGTGATCCCCTATTTCCTCTGGGATGCTGGACCCTGTGCTCAAGCCTGGAGCTAGCTTTGTTCTGGAGAGACATATTCAAGTTCACACGCAACTCTGGCATCTCCGTGGAGGCATGTGGCCTTGGGGCTCTGTGTGGAAGAGCTGCAATAAGGTTTGCAAGATGAGCAGGTGTGGTTTTTCTGCAGGCAGCAGGGCCAGGCACTCCGGGAGGGAAGAAACAGCTCATATCAAGGCCCCTGGAAGTTGAGAGAGGCGGGAGGAGAAAGACTGGAGTGCTTAGCCCATGGCTGGCTCTGCTCTGCAAGGCCAGGTTGCAGCTGGAGAGAGGCCCAGATATGCCTTCAGACAGGTTCTGCCACTAAGCCCCAGAAGGGCTGTGGGGGAGGCTTTGGGCAGCCTTCATTCTTGGGATGGGGTTCGGCTTAACCAGGGTGTGGTGACCAATGGATGGGAGGAGCCATGGAAGGCAGGGTCCTTGAAAAGCCTTGGGTAGGAGCTTGGCAAGCTGGTGGTCAGGGCAGTCAGTGATGGCAGCGATCTGGAGGTGCAGGGTAGGAGGCAGGAGGGCTCTACCTCCTGCAGTTCTCAGACAGTACAAGATGTGGCCCCCTTAGCTTCTCACAGCTGCTCTGCCCTTTCAAGGCCGTGGTTCTTGTTTAAATCTCCCCGGGATTCTGGCGTGTAGTCACTGTCAGTCCATTCTGTAGATGAGAGGCTCGAGGTTCCAGGTGCTCCAGAGGATGGGGCCTCCATTTTCAGTTCTCCTTAGGACTGCCATGGGTGCACGGTTAGCAAGTAGGGTAGAGCAGGCATTGGTTGTGTGCAGGTACGTCTATAGCGGCCTGCCCCACTAGGTGGCGCCACACAGGCGCAGTCCGTACCTCCCCTGAGAGAGAAGCCGGTGGGGACTGATCCCATTCCATCCACTCACCCTGTGCCCTTGTCCTTCTCCCTGGCAGTGAGGGGTGCTTACACCAACAGGATCTAGCACTCATTTCTGCTACGTGCAGGTGCATCCACCTGTGGACTCTGGGCAGCTTACCCTCTACACAGACCCCTCAGGGGCATGAGCAGCGTCTCCACCTCTGGTGCTAGGTATGGAGACAAGGAGTGAGCCGAGGAGAGCGGGAAGTGGCCTGTGGGGTGGGAAGAGCTGGAAGAGGCCAGTTTCACAGCCTTCCAGCAGTCTCCAGGTCCAGGGAGCTGGAGGAGAGAGAATCCTGCTCTGGGCAGGTGCTGGGCCCTCAGGGGAACCCTGTGGTGGGAAAGGGGGCATGGAAGGAAGGGCAGGAGGAGGCCACCTGGGTGGGCGAGTGGGGTTCTGGGTGGTCCCCCAACTGGGTTCTTGCTCTCCAAGCAGAGCCGAGCTGTGGCCACACAGAAAGCCCCTGCTTCCAGGCTCTCTGCAGCCCCTCTTCCCTGACAGGAGTGGCCTTGATTGTCCCTTCCAGAAGGTGAGGTGATGAGCCCCGTGATGGCCTCAGCATATGATAGTGGGCCAGGGCGGGGGATGGGGGAAGGTGGGTTTCTCGTCTTGTGAAGCTTAATGTACATGGGGTCTAGGAGTGTATGGCCCAGCCATGTGGCTCCCTTGGGGAAGACCAGAAGTCTGGAGAAGTAAGGTGCACCAGCCAGTTTGGAGATTGGCAGGCTAGGTGCAAGGGTGAGGGCTGAGGTGTCCTGCCTCAATCCTGGTGTCACCTCCATGCCGACCATGGAGCTGAGTGGGGAGCACGGGACCCCAGGAGCCACTCCCTGCAGCCTGGGATGGGTTGGGGGCCAGAGGGAAACAAGGGGAGAGCCACAATGCCTGTCCCTTTATCTCTGCGTATCCCATAACCAAATATGTGGTTCAAGTTTAGCCTGCTTGGCTTCCAGTCCCGCTCTCATTGACACAGTCCTGGGAGGCAGCAGGGTGATGGCTCAAATGCTTGAGTCCCTGCCACTCAAGTGGTAAACTCACATGCAGTTCCTGGGTCCTGGCTTCAGCCTGGCCCAGTGCCAGTTGCTGCAGCCATCTGAGGACTAAACCACTGGATGGAAGGGCCTTCCTCCCCCTCTCCCTCCCTCCCCCCATCTGCCTTTTAAATACATGCATAAACTTTAGTCCTTTGGCTTTACTTAAGGAGATAAGGGGCATTGTTAGCAACATGAAGTAGTGACAAGAGCTCATATCATAGAGAAGCTCAGAGAAGCATACAGTATGAGAAGACAGCAGTCAGAATAAAGAGGGTGGCAGGGAGAGAGGCAGGCACAGCTGGAGAGATGAATGATGGATCTGGAGGTCCACAAGGACCATGGGGGAAAAGACTGAGACCCGGAAATGGCCCAGAGATGGCAGGAGCTGAAGAGGCAGCATCCAGCTGGTGGGACTTGGAGAGGAGAGGGCTAAAGGGTGATGTTTGCAGAGAGAGTGGGCATTAGAGACACCAAATTAGCAAATGAAAGAGCTGAGGTCTGATGGGATCAGAGTGTTGGGAGATAGGGATGGACTTGCAAACAGATGCTCCATCTCACAAGTTCAAGACCATGAATATGAAGAGGCTAGGCCAGAAACTTCCAGTGAGAAAATGCAGAGAACAAATGAGGCTGTTATGCTCAGCACGTTGCTTGGCATGCTTGCTGCTTCTACCGAATGCTCAGCAGAGAGAGAGACAGACAGACAGACAGGCCCTCGTTCTGCACACAGAAGATGACAGGCCTCAAAGGGCTGAAAGGTCGGTGTTGCACAATCCTTCCTTACCATGGTGCAAGAAATGGGGATATTAACGGACAAACCTGGGGGTAAAATTTTCATGCATCTTAAAGTGAAATAACATTATGTCACCTCTGGGTTAAAATAAGCTATGAAAAGTGTGAAATCCCTAGAGGTAGCTTATTAAACCGAGTCTCCACTGCCTATCAGCATCTGTGAAAAGGCCAAGGCAGTCCTTGGTGACACTGAGATCTCTAAATTCAGTTGTCAGGAGACAGAACATTCTCAAAGTGACTGGACTCAGCTGAGCACCAACTGCAGAAGCTGGAGCAGAGGGAGAGAAAGAGCAGGAAGAGGAGATAATGGAAGGAGGGCAGAAATAACCCAGAAAGCATCAGAAACGATTAGGGAAGAAGCCAAAGCCCTAAAGGATGAGTAAGATGGACATCTGGATGACTGACCGCTAAAGAAAGATGCGGTCGAACCAGATACAGCGCACCAGCCTGGGCGGAGTGGAAGGCATGGTGCGAGAGGCTTAGAAACCCCCAAGACAGCGGGGTGAAGCGGATGTGTGTCCCATAAAACATAAACTCCAGAGGATGTAGCATTTGCATAGACCAGTGTGTGCTAGAAGAATGGAATGGCAGGTAGACACATCCATTCTTTGCCTGGGTCTGAGTCTCAGCTCTGTCCAGACTCCAGCTTCTTGCTCATGTCCATCCTGGGCTGCAGTGGGCATAGACCAAGCAGCTGGGTCCCTGTCACTCACATGGGAGATGAGATGCAGGTTGAATTCTTGGTTCCTGGCTTCGGCCTAGCCTGGTCCCACCCCAGCTGCTGCAGGCATGTGGGCAATGAACCTGCAAATGGGACATCTCTCTCTGTGTCTTACAAATAAGAAAAAAAAAATTAAAGATAAAAACCAAAAACCTCCATTCCACAAAGAAACCCCATCATATATCTTTACAAATACCCCCCATATAACTTTATAGATGAATTCCCTGAACTATAAAAGAATAGATATTAATCCATAGAGTTATTATAGGGGAGTAGAAGCTGCCAGCTAATTTTATGAAACAAATCGGCTCTTGATTTCCAAATCAGAGAATGACAGTGCAAACAAACAAAAAGATAAC